ATTGGGTCAGCCCTGCAAACCCTGATGGACGATGTGGTGAACAGTGGAGAGAGGCACCCCCCGACCCCCAAGATGATGTCCCACTCGCAGTCAGAAGACTCCAAGCTCATCTGGGTGGCATCCCATCCAGTCCAGCACCACCACCAGGGACTCCTGCTCAGTCATATATGTATATATATTTATGTTCTCTAGTAATATTTATTTTCTATCTTCTGTAAATAGTTGTAGTAGTTTATTTTAAAATCTAATGTTAATAGTTGAAAATGTTTTTAATAGTTTATTGTAAATAATTGCTTCTCTAAAAATAAACTGATGTCACTGAGAAGTTGTTCTAAGTTTACTTAAATTACAAAGAAGTGATGAAACAGATTATGTAAAAAGGTTAAAAGACTTTAAGAACACACCTACAACAATAACTTTTATAAACAATTTCATAATTTAATTTAATAACAGCAACACAGAACTTCAACTTGTTAAAAAAAAAACACCAAAAAAATTATAACATCTGTCCACCATCCTCTCCAATAAATGAAATAATCTGTCCATCCTTTCCCGCCTCCCTCTGCAATCTCATATCCTCCCTGATTAAATCCACCAACTCGTCACTCCTTCTTCTCTTCCTCCTTTCCCTCCTCCCTCATCCTCATTCTCTTCCTCATCTTCACCCTGATGCTGCTCAGCCTCTGCAGCATTTAGCCCTGGTGTGTCCTCAGGGATGGAGGCAATTAGGACAGGTGGGGTAATAGAGGGCCTCCGTCCTAATACCTCATCCATGAGGACAAACCAGGGCCAGGTGGCAGCAGTAGGATTCCCACTGACCCGCTGCCCTGCCCTGGATCTTTCCATTCCTAAAGTAGAGGAAAACAATTTGTATCAACAGATGCTATTTTCTGTAGTGTTTCTTTAAAGCTAGAAAAAGGAAGGTTTCATGACTTGGATGGATTAATGAAATTCTACAGAAAAAGACTTTGGAATGGTAACCTGGAGATTACTTTTTTCAAGCTTACTCAAAGTGTAAATTAACATGAATATAATAAATGAAATATGTAATTTTCCCTACACACACACACACATACATA